ACCTCCGTTTGTACTGCCACTAGGTTCACCGTGATCGTGCAATGGACATTTATCGTTTCGCTTATTTTTACACCATTTGAAATACTTGCGGTCACGGGTACAACAATGAAACAGTAGCCCTTTATGTTCATTGTTCTTTTCGACCTCCATCCATTTGATGTAGCCCACACCACAATTTGGACATTTTATCTTTTTTGGGCATTCCGATAGCATATGTCCAACCTGTCTACAACTATGACAAATTTCCCTATTCTTTCCTGCCATCAAAGTTCTCTTAAAGGCAACAGCAAAGCTGCAAATCAAAGGCAACATATGATAATCATACAAAGGCAACATAGAACATAAACCAAATCACATATCGACCGGCAATCAAAATGGTTTATGGAATCATTCAACTAAGGATATTGCCGATTGAAGGCTTATCTTATGGATTGATAAGCATGTTGAGTTCCATTGCTTTACAAACTGATATTAAAAATGAATTGTACTAACATATATAGACTTCATCATCTTATTCATGTGGATTGCCCAAAAACAGAAAAATTCATAAATTCAAGCATCAATCAACACGGAAAAAAAAAACTAAGTTGTGCATATGTGGATTAAACTTGGCACCTATGAATCATGTCATTAAAAACTTAAGCCTCCATTTGGCCCGAATTTCCGAACGGTTTAATTTAGAGTTTGATCACTTATAATTAATGGTTTATAAACTGTTTTTATCTGGAAAAACAATCTCTCCCCCTATTTTTCTCCCCCTATTTTACCAAGATACCTTTGGCATATCATTGACAAGGCGATTGTGCTAAACACCCCAAATTGAAGAAAAAACAAAATACAGTGCATCCATCTCGAATTTCTTATATGCAGAGAGAGCCTGCAAATGCAAGTCGACTAAGATGTGTTGCATCATATTCAATTTTCCAATATTAAATTCTCAATTTGGCAAAACTTTTGATAAAATTTTTTAACAAATCTTGATAAAAGTTGGTAAAGTTGTGGTTCTTATAATGATCAATCCGGCAAATCACATTATCCATTCCTTTCACAGTAACAAGGGAACAATATACTGCTGCCAAGAAATGCTTCAGTTCGAGAGCAAACTAATCAGACCACACTGCCATGATGAATGCAAACTAATCAGACCACACTCCGACCATCATCATTACACCATTAAACCGAAATCGCCAAAAGCAGGAAATGACCAGCAACAAACATGAAAGGAATGGATAGGTTACCAGGGCTGGGGAGGACGGCGACACCAGGGCTGAGGAGGATGACGACAGCACCGGTCGATCGCTTTCCGTTTTGCCTCTTCGCGGACTGATTTCGGTTTTGTACGACCGCGATTGGGGAGACCAGGGCTGGGGAGGACGGCGACAAATGCATTGATTGATGGCTGGAATCGAATGAAAGCGCAGTGATGACTTTCAATTGGTTGGCAGTCGATCTCGCGATTTTGGCCGTGTTGTGTGGGGGATGTTGACACCGACCTCGGAGGTCG